CTGTTTCTTAAGATCAGTGGTTACTGATAAGCTTGAAAAGTAAATGTTTAACTTTTCTGGTTATAGAGCCAATTTTTCTGACTCTTTGTCAATATCAGTGGTTAGTTAATGATAAGTTTGAAAAAGTGAATGCATAACACTTTGGTGATGAAACTGATTCCTTTGACAGTTTGCCAAGATTGCTAGTTAATAAATCTGATAAAGCAAAATCAGATGAGCAAGCAATCCAAGTAGCTAACTGTTAACACACAAACTTATCAAACTATGTAATGAATGATTATAGTAAATCTGTGGTGAAAACAGATCTGCCAAATGATATTCATTCAGTTTCCACTATAATCACGATTCCCAAAGTAGTTAAATTAAAATCCTCCAGTGAATTGCATCCAATAAATTTGTTTTGCACTATTGACAACATTTTGGAGAAAATGGTGTGTATATGCAACTTTTTGAGTTTATAGGTAGATAGAAATAAACTATCCAGTGATTTTCAATCAGGGTTTCGAGTAAGTCAATATTAGTAGGTAATAGTGATTATGAAAAAGTGAATGTAAAACACTTTGATGATAAAGCTGTTTCCTCTGATTGTTTGTCAAGATCAGTAGTTATTAATAAACTGAACTGAACTAAAAAAGTGTCAAAAATGAATGTAACACTTTGGTAATTAGCCTATCCGAAACACGTGACTTTGACAAGCAAACAAAGGGTTAGTGTTCCTCTTGGCGGACATTTTAGTTTGAGTTCGACAGCATCTTGGATAGTCTAATAAAACCTTTCCCCTGAAAGTGCCAGTTTGTCAAGATCAGTGGTTTGGTTAATAAATCTGATATAGTTAAATCAGAGTAACAATCCAGGAAAGTAGGTAAATGTTAACCCTAATAAACTCATTAAACTAAATAATGAGTATAGTAAATCTGTGATTAAAACAGATCTGCCAAATGATATTGATTCACTCATTATTGGTAAATAAAACGTGGTCGTTAGTATCAAGACCCGAATATAAAAATATAGTGGATTGTAAATGGATATTTTCCATTGAAAATGATGAAATTGGAAAACCATTTAGATACAAAGCTTACTTAGTTGCTCGTGGTTTTAGTCAACATTACTTGGTAGATTATAATGAAACCTTTGCACAGGTGGCGAGAATCGTAGGTTTCTGGTTTATAATACCCTTTTTAATCAGTTCACCCTTTTAATACATCATATGGATGTACAAACAGCTTTTCCGGATAGGTCATTGAAGGAAGCCATTTTTATGAAGGTTCCTGAAGGCTGAAGGGTGGCTGACTCAAGGTGTGACAAGTAAACCTCCTAACCAAGTTTGTAAGGCTTTGTATCTATGGACTAAAACAAACCACTAGATGTTGGTTTGAAATAATAGTAAAAGTTCATAAAGAAAATGGGTTTGAAAATTCATCAGTTGACCACTGTATTTATATCTTAGACAAAGGTGCGATATGTAAAATTATTTATGTAGTTCTGTAGATGGTATTTGCCACTGCAGATAATAATACATTGAATAGTTTAAAAGGGATTTGGCAAATAACTGTTCTATGTTTTATTTGAAAGACAGTAAACTATTTTTGGGTAATAAAATTGAAAGGTAATCAAAAATAAAATTAGTCTTGATCAATTTTCATATAGGTACAGTTCAAATGTACATGAAAACTATTTTACATAAATTTAATATGAATGACTGTTCTGCCATCAGCTGTGTCAGCACTCCACTTCCTAGTAAACTGAATTTGATTGGTTTAAATTCAGAAGAAAAACATGATAGCCCTTGCCGGAATCTAATCGTCTTTAAATGTATATTATGTTATGTATATCAAGCCTGATTCAAGTACCACTGTTAATATTTTGAGCAGGTATTAAAACAAGAATAATAAAGAGTTTTGGCAATATATGAAAAGGGTCTTTAGATATCTTAAGGGTAAAATCAATGTGAAGTTGACACAATATTTCACTTGTGAATGTATCATTTTCTTGAGTGATTCTATTAATCCTGACTAGGAAGCTGGAGATGATAATATAAACAATATAAAAGCACAACAGGATATTTATTTAAACTGTTTGAAATTTGTGTGATATGTTGGAATACAAAAAGGAGTTGTCAGTAACGGCATCATCTACTGAAGCCGAATATATGGTTTTTCTTTTTGAAGAGGCTCTTTGGTTAAAATCATTAGCAGAAAATATGCATAAATATTAATGTTATTTTTATGTTAAAAAGTAATAAAAAAAATATATTTGCGATCTTCAAATCGCTTAGGTGTGATTCAAAATCTTTAAATTTGTCAGAGATCAAAGAGAAAATCGTTGCTGTTCGTTTACCTTCTTCTGGGTGCACTTTCCATCCAAATGACACAACCCTTTTGGCTTGCCGGTAGCGTCGATGTGATTTTTTGCGGTAGATAAGATATTTTCAAGTTATTTCTTCAATTTTTAGGAAGCGGAATCGGATCGCGGTTGACACGGCGGTATCTTGCTCACATGTCTTTTTTCGAGTCCGGTCCCGGAGCCGCGCGCATGCACCTTTTATCGGTTTAGCGAACAGGTAATCGCGCAGTAAATACATATTTTTAAATTTAAATATTAATATTAGGGACCTACAAATCTTTTGATTTGCTCAATTGATATTGAACAGAAAGTTTAATTCAATTTTTAACAATTAATATCAGTGTCAATTATGACCTAGGAGGATAACAATAGACCTCAATAAGTATTACAAATTATCCAACAAATCACAAAAGATCAAATCATATTAAATTGATCGTAATTAATATAAAATATTAATTTGTCCACAGAGAAACCACTAGCAGACATGTTTACCAAACCATTGATGCAAGTGAAATTTGAGAAATTAGAATGGAATTAGGCTTAGTAAATAAGTTAAATGGTTTGATTAGGTTTTTCTGGGTTTTCCCTAATCCCGAGCAACAAATGCTGGACCGTTATTGTAATTTTCCCCAGAAAAGACACACATAAGGAAAGCGGGCCTATTTATGTTATACTAGGTTTAAGTTGTATTACACTGTTAGTATAATTGATCAAATTTTTGAGGTGGCGTGTTGGATACACTGATATTCATATCAGTGAAACAAAAATTAATAAATTAAACTTTGATTATTAGCCTATACTTTGCTAGTTTATATCGCAGCTATTGATGACTGAATGTATTTATAATAGTTTTTATATGTAAGATAAACAGATGAGGAATCGTTTACTTAAGAAAGGGTTTATAATTCTTTGTCTTGATGTTGAGTTAGTTCGTATAGTTATTTCTATGAGCTCACACGCTCTGCTTTCCACGCTGTGTTCGATATAATAAATATATTGAATATCGATAATTAACAAGTTCTTTTATTTCTTAGTCCATTTCCCAACAGTAAATTCCATAAAAAGGCCGAAAAAATGTGCCAAACTAAAAATAAACGGACCCGTTTTTTTTTATTTTTCCAGAAAATAAACAGGCTTTTTGATACTGAATTTATTCCATTTAAAAGTTCCACCCTGTATATGTATTTTTATTGGATGGAATTGGAATCATCCAAACAAAATAAATCGGAAATTGACTGCCATCATTTTATGTCTTTTTCTTATATATGAGTTCTTTTCAAAATGAAATTGTAACAAAAAAAAACAATGTGAATACAGGATAACTATCAATACCTACATCTCAAGTGTAAAAATATAGGGCATCATTCACAAAGAAAATAATAAAACTACCTAAGTCTGCCTGTCCTTAACAAACCCTAATTCAAAATTATAGAAATTTCTGACACAAGCTTTATTTTAAACTATAGAAGAAAAAAATCTTAGTGAGCGTTCTAGTTTCAACTACGTGTCGGTGACAGTTATCTTTGTCTATGTAAGTATTTTGAGTTAAATTTCCATAGGGCATTCACATCATCGTATTAAAATCCTTTATTAACTGGTTATGGATATCTACCTCTTCCATTTCAATAGACAGGCAGAAGTAGATACCTATTTAAAATTCTAGACATAGCTAATGGGAAATTAACAAGAAAAAAAATTGGTTTAATATAAGCCAAATATCAAATGTCATTGGCAATACATCGAATCGATAGAAACATAGTAAAGCACAAAGGACTGACAATTACTAGGTTTAAGGGAATTTCAGCCATCCCACAGATTTCAATTATAATCCTAAACCTCAATTCCATTGAATGTAATTGACCAGATAATGGCTTTACAGAAAGCTTCACCTTACAACCGAAAATGGGCCGGAATACCTATTTGTCTTCACCGCACATTCTACATAATTTTGGGAATAATTATTGATCTTTTAGTTATTTATTTTTCCTTTCAATTGTTTATCGAGTTTAGATTCCACTCAATCATGTGCTTATGGATTTCAAGGCTCTATGAAATTTCATAAATTACAACTACTTTCATAGTTACATGAAAATAATAATGCGCTATGTGTAGTTAGGTATTTTATGTAGTAATACGAAATCCCATAAATTAGTGTAGTGTCTAAAAGCCAAAATTGGTTATAAACGTTTAGCAGTTACCGTCAAATTTATTTGTCGGACGTGTCGCTGCCGAAAATTGTCAAGAAGTCTCTTTGAGGAAAAAGTACGGGTATTATAGCGTTTTAAAACGACGAGAAGTCGACAAAATGGCGCGAAATTTGCATTTACGAGGCGGACAAACAACGGCCACAATCTCGCTTGAATGGATGTTTACATTTTTGTTATTTTAAAAGTCTGCATTAAAATAACATCTCCATAATTTAGTACATCAAAAATACATGCCGTGATGTAAGGGCATGTTTTGGTTCGTTTGGAATTTGATAGCTTTTCATCTCGGGCGCTGTTTCTTATGTAATTCAATACACAAAATTATCATACAAAATTTAATAAATAAAAAATTAATTTGCCAAAACTTTTTTCTTTATGTAAATATTTACTTCCAACCTTTTCATACGGATTGGTTCTTTCTTGTTATTTACAAAATTATTTTATTTTCAGTGCCACCGAATATAGACGATTCTCTTAGCAGCAGTGACGTGATCGTTCGAGAAGGTTCTAACGAAACACTCACATGTAAAGCAACGGGATTTCCGGAACCGAGCGTTAAATGGAAAAGGGATGATAACTCCAAAATAAGCTTGAATAAAACATTACAAGGTACGTTTCATCGAAGTACCTGCTTTATTATAAATTTTTACTCTTTTTCTACTGTACCTACATACAATAAAAATCTTTATCTTGAAATAAATTGAGTAGGTATGACACATAATTTTCTCAAAGTTCTATGTTAGCAGATACAGTGTCATCATAGCTTCCCCCCGCCCCCCGCCGCTTTTTCTCTGCTCCCTCGCAGTACCCCCAGAAAATAAATGTTTGGGCTGGTATATTGGGAGATGCTATTATTGATCCGTTATTTATATACATACAGGGAAATTCAAATGTCGGAAATGAATACAAAGGTCTATCGAAGACGTACATGGCAATTTATCTTGACGAAAAAATTATGTTGTCCAAGTTAGGCAATGGTTAGATGATAATTACCGTAATCAATGGATTGAAAGAAGTGGTCCCGTTGAAAAGCCTCCTTGAACAGCATTTCCTAAGAGCTTCAGATAAAGTAATAAAAAGGGGGTTGTCATTTTTATGATTATTCAGTTAGGGTGACTGGGGGTGAGGAAGTAAGTGAAATAACTTGTTTTCACTTACCTATTATTATTATTACACCATTTTGGTTCCCTATTATAGAAATTGTTTTCAACGAATTCAACGATAAAAAGGTCGGTTTTCAATTATCCTCCAACTTACTAATTTTGTTTTGTAAACTAAATCACTATTTTAATATAAAATTAGGCATTGCTACTATGTTAGCCTATAATAATTGATGTCCCCTTAGGATGTACTCTATCCCAAAATACATGTCATCATAGACTATTAAGTTATGCAAATTTGCGTGTACCTATAAATCATTGGGATATTATTGGATCAATTGTAATTTTCTTTTGTAGTTAATGATTGGGAAGGAGAGAAGCTGGATCTAATAAAAATCTCACGACTCGATATGGGTGCTTACCTTTGCATTGCTAGTAATGGTGTTCCTCCTACAGTTAGCAAACGTATCAAAGTGAGCGTTGATTGTAAGTATTTTATTTAAAACTAGTTTTGTTTATAGCAACGTCATGGTATAGAAAAATTACTTTGTCTGCAGTTATTATCGTTGTGGTACCAAAGTAAACGATAAATGGACATTCTATATAAAAACTTTTTAAGTCAATTTACAAAAAAACGAATAAAATTGGATTAAGTTGATCTCTAGTTTCGATATGACTTAGAATTGGAAAACGTATTGTCTTAGTTTGGTATCTTTATGTGCTTTTCATATTCCCAAAGCTACAATCTAAATTCAGATAAATTTCCAGTAATGCCCCTTAAAACTTAACGGTTTTCTTCGAAAGTAAAGTTACTTCTTTATTGGAGATCGGAACAGACTGATAAAAAACCTAATCAAATCCTTACATAGGTAAAGTCGGATTTCTGTGCTCCGGGCAGCGTTTAAACTCCATTTTCTATTTTAATTAATATTCAACTTCTTTCTAACCCAACTCCTGATTTCCTCGACGTGTTTTGAAAAAGGGCAATTTCTTTTAATGCGTATGTGCATAGAAGGTGAAATTTTTTTTAACAAATCCTTTACTTCGTATCATTTATTCCTGGGCAACTTAAACTAATTCAGTTTTGAAATTTTAAATAAATTTTCCTTGAAATATAGCATAAACGAATGAACAAGAACACAAGTATGCTCGGTCAAAATATTTCTTTGGCATAAAACTTGTATATTGTTTGATATTTTTCTGTAATTGTGTGCATTTTCTCTGTCCCGATTTTTGACATCCGCAATTTGCCATTTACCCATCAACGCAATAATTAATCACGCTTGAATATTATATGGTGGTATAGAGCAAAAAAATGGCGCATCGCATTACATTCTCATGTTTCAATTAATTATTGATGGGCGATTGAACAACGTTTGATCCACGGGATCATATTTAATGGTGTTTGTATTATTTTTGGCGCAGATAATATCAATTTTTATTTTATCATAATTTTTATTATATAACGTACTTATTTTGGCAATTGCCTAATTATACTGCATACGGCTAGTCAGCATCAGTTCGGCGGCCATGAGTCTATGGGTTCCTTGTATACATCTTACCTTTGGGCGCCCCCAAGTTAATTGTGACTTAACTAGGAAGATAACCTAATGATGTTATAAACAAAACCTGTGCAATTGAAGAGCTTATCAATAAAACAACTAATTAGGTACAATAATGTATCTGGCTTCTTTATTAAAAATAATAACAAAATATAGGGATAGCCAGGAGGTTATTAAAAATGTGTTTAGAATAATGCTTGTACCAATTTATAAATATTTGATAATAAAAAAAATAAGAATGTAAATAATGTATAAAAATATTGATTTTTAAATAAACAGTTTTAACTGTCTGTTTACACTTGTGAAATATTAGAACCACAATATCAGTTACACTCTACCAAGAGCCAAATTCAACACCAAAAAGGTGAAAATTATTGTTAGGGCAACCTCAGGGTAAAATTCTAGAATTTTATTTAAGGGGCACTTACCGAACGTAAATCAGTATCAAGTGATTTATATAAGATTTGCCTAAATAGTAAAAAGTGCAACTTACATGTGTACAAGTGTTGATTATCTTCAAAGGTGTGTGTAAATCCAGGTTCGGTCTCACTGTAGATAGACTATGGTATGGTAAGTGAGTCATAGTCATGAGTCCTATCCACGTGGTATCTGTTTTACGTAGAACTCAATGTGGTTCCACCAGAGTGCTACCAAGAGGGTTGCTGAAGGGGGGCTACCAAAGCCTACTAAGGGCAATCTAGATCTAGTCTAGAATTTCTTTCTAGGAGCTGTCCAACTATAGCCTAAGACTGTCTAGCTACAGCCTAGCACTAGGATTGTCCAACTATAGCCTAAGAGTAGGACTGTCCAACTATAGCCTGAGACTAGGAGTAGGAGTAGGATTGTCCAACTATAGTCTGAGACTAGGAGTAGGAGTAGGATTGTCCAACTATAGTCTGAGACTAGGAGTAGGAGTAGGATTGTCCAACTATAGCCTGAGACTAGGATTGTCCTACTATAGCCTGAGACTAGGATTGTCCAACTATAGCCTGAGACTAGGATTGTCCAACTATAGCCTAAGAGTAGGATTGTCCAACTATAGCCTGAGACTAGGACCCTATAACGATGTTCGTATAAAAAAACAAATCGAGCCCCAAATATTAGAAATAATCTTACCTCAAATTGAGGGATCCTCTAGACCAAAGGTGAAGTCTTAAACTTCCAAAAGCTGCTCGGAACAGTCCTATTGAAGAAACGAAACACGTGTTGTAGGTTAATATTTCCTGAAGAAAATTTCAAACTTACCGAAACAGAATCCAAAAATGACCAAGGGACGACTCTAGACAATTATCAGCAAGAAATTAGTCTACTTGAGCTCCCTGGCACAAAATTCCAAAAAGTCTCGCCCCAAAAATACTTAGGGCCGAGGCCCGAGACCGGACGACTACTTAGCGTGAGGTCGCAGATCAAAAGGGCAGATTCTTCATTTCGAATTTAGATTTCGGAAGAAGACTTTCATCTGTCAAACTTCTAATTTTGACATTGAAGAAAATTATAGAAAAGGACGTGTTCAGTTTCACCCCAAAAGTACGAACTGAGAATCGGTTGTGTAAAAAATGACTGGTGAATGTTGAAAAGTGCCTATAGAACATAATATATCAAAAGGTTGAACAGGTCTAAAGAAAACGCCTAGACAAAACAGCTGTTCAATGACATGATGGAAAGGAAAAGTCAAAGATTAAACAACAATTATTATCATAACCTCAGATTACTTATTTATCAATTAGGTTTGCGAACAGAGATGATGAAAAAATCTCTCCTTTTCCTAAGATTCTAATCAATAACAGCGGGTCCTGCCGTACTGAATCAAACCTTCCTAGATCAATTAACCAAACTTGCAAACCTGAACCAAAAAAACTTCTAGTAGAAGGCAGCACTCAAGGTAACAAAATCTGGGCACAAAAAAGATAGTTGTTTATTCATTTATTTTATTGTAGCTCTATATGGAATCATATCCAGTATGGCAAAACAAGGTAGCTTATTAGCCAAGAAATTGAAAACGTTACAATTACATTTAGTTTTTCTTTATCTGTGTAATTGTAAATGTATGCTTAGTCTAGGACAATATATTTCTCCGTTGTCAAACTATTAATGCTAGTCTGAATCTAGGAAATTTGGTCTGTAGTAGTGTGGTCCAGTTTCAGTACAAAGTAAAATCAACTCAAGATCCACTCAACAGCAGTAATATTAAATTTGTTTATCAATACAAGTATTGATGTATAATAAACTAATAAAAAAATGGTCCTCAATTGAATAGATTTATTGAACAGGTAAAAGAATGTCGGCGAACATATCAAAATCGATTAAGCAGCTCTTCGCCCCTAGTACTCCCCTTAAACAGGTAATCATGGGACGAAGTCCTTCAAGCAATTCATCTTTTTTTGTTGGTAGCTCTTGCCTCATTTTTCCCTTCAATAATAGATACAACTCCCTCAATTTTTTTTTTGTTGAGATTTTATGTCCTGATGGTTCTTTGGGATCCCCCAAACTGCATACACTAAACTACACTGCTCAACAATCGAACTGGATAATTACAAATATACTAAAATCCTCATTTAAAAAAATAGAAAATGAAAACGTGTTTTATATTATCAATAACCAGTTTATTGATAATCAATTAACTGTTTATTGATTATATAAAACACCTTTTTATTATCTATTTGTTTAAATGAGGATTTTAGTATATTTGCAATTATCCAGTTCGATTGTTGAGCAGTGTATTTTGAGATTTGGAGCCGGAATCCATTAAAAAAGAAACTCAACAAATTTTCAAAATTTAATAAATCAAACCGCAAAAATGTCATATCTTGAGACAAGCTTTATAAAAGTTTTGGTTAAGAGGCCAGCAACAAATTCAAGCGCGCGAAATTCATTCTTTGTCGCCGAGCTATAGACGACGTTACGGCAAATATTTCCGAGATAACGGAAGGGTGTGATCAAATTGCATGGAAGGTGAATAATAAATCCTATGGGCTTTTGTGGAGGCAAAACTAATACACCTATCATATTTAATATAAATTAAAAAGTATACAATTATAATAATAGTTTTATAATTTACATTGTGCTTTTTATTTAACAAATAAGAATGTGGAGAATGAAATGTGCGGAAACACAAAAATATATTACGAAGATAATAAAATTTACCTATACAAATACAGCAAAATAGATACTTGAAATGTTTACACCAAAAAAAAGTGAGGTGGCGTAGTTACGAGGGTGAGAGAGATGATGTTTATTCGTTTATTACATAAAGAACTTCCAGAAAACCTAGAAAAGTAATAAAAAGGAAAAGTGTTAATTTCACACATTGGTGAGATTGCTCATGAAAACCTCGGACACATCGATTTTTGATTTCAGTTGCCGTTTTTCTGATGGTAATATCATGTATACAGGGTGACCCAGAAACAAGTTGTGATAGCTAACTTTATTTTTTTAAATGAAAACATTAATTGTGAAGTGAAAACTTCTTTAGAATCGTTGGGAGTGATGTGAGACTCGATGAAACGAAAAAGCGACACTTTTTTAACACGCTTATATTAACACACAACAAAAACCTGGAACAAGCCAAGTGAGCTGGAACAAGTCTGGAAAATGTCTGAATAAATCTGGATGAAGTCTGGAAAAGTCTGGAAATCTCTGGAAACGTCTGGAAAGAGCCTAGAAATTTCTGGAAAGGGTCGGAAAAATTCTGTCAAAGGTCCGAAAAGACCTGGGGATCATTCTCCAGAATCCGGATCAGTCTGTACAAGTCTCTCAATAATTTTCGTCCCAAATATCAGACCGCCGCCTAATAAGTTTCACTTCGAAAGTTTCATATTTTTACCGATTTGTCAAAAACCAGTGGACCAAAATATGGAGTGTGCTATATCATTGTAATCAGAATAAGATATTCTATCGAACACATGTATAATATACAGGGTGTTC